GAGAAAAGTAAGCTCCAATAGAAATGGACGATCAAAAAGTTGAAGCCATCTTTTAGGACAAGTTCTTCTGCACAAGTGTTTGGCCGACTGTCGAGAAATCAATTCTATCTTCGATTTTTGTACTCTTCGTAAATCAATGTTGCATTTGAGAGAGCAATACAAAGTGCCAAGGTCTGCCTCGATCTAGACTGCCAGTCTCGTTTAACGAAGACGTTCTGTGAGCGAATGGTCGCTTGCCCTAAGTATGTAGGACATCGGGAATGGGTTAGACTTCACTCACACGCCAGAAGAGTATTTTCGAACACCGACCTTTACGCCCTTCTTGACGCTGTTGGTCTCATCAAATTCTGCGTGATCGCCCCACAAGAGGCGAAAGGCGGAAAGACTGACATAAACCAATTAGATAATCAAGTCACCTCATAAGAAATCCTACTATTGCGCTTGGCTCTCTCTTCTTTAAGGTCCGCGTCAAAACAAAGTCAGCATTATCAATTGTTACTCACTAAATTGTACAGCTGATGAGAGAGAAATGAGTGCATTTTATAATCAGTTGGGAGAAGTAATCCACAGCGAGAAGTCCTTCTATATGTTTTCTGTTGGAGGTTTCAACGTCAGTTTAGGATCGGCCAACGGAAATGAATAGAGTATGTGGAAACTCGGATAGGAGAATAAAACGAGAATGAAAATCGTTTTGTAAGACATGCGTCAGCAGTACGTCCCTTCCATAGAAACTTATGTTTCGAGAACAGAGAAAGTCACTAATAAACATAGAAATCTTTCAAGGACATGACTCATGTTGAAATCGGCTATATTTTGACAAACAGAAAATGGTCCCTCTTTGACACTTCAGTGGTCCCTGGATTCTGCACTAGATCTGGCGACCGCCTTCTCCATGAGAAGATTCGATTCAGCCATAATCTGGAAGAGAACTCTGGTTATCTTCAAAAAAAAAGTTGAGAAAGACCGTGTATGACGAGGATATTCTCAATAAAATCCTCTTGTCATTTGACTACCAGATAGAGGAAGACCAACCAAGGACCACAAGTTTCTTGTAGAAGGACTGGAAAGTTGTGTCAAACTCAATTCAGTTCCTCAGAGAAAAAGTTGAGACCACGTCTATAGTATCATTAAGAAGTTACTCGAAAAGAGAAGTACAATAAATCTTGATTCTGGTGCAGTACACCTATAACAATGTTGATAATAAATGTCATTGGTAAAAGATCTTTGTAGGAGGATTTACTTTGGTGTAGGCAAAAAATTGATTGGAAGCAGCTAAAAAATCATGTGTTCTGAAGAATTGCCATCCCATCTTTGTGACTATATGTCTCACTATCTGTACTGATCAAGGAATTCGAGACTATTACTACATTCATACACGGCGTGGGATTGATAACAGAAAAGTTCCATACCAATCTCTTCCGCTCCATAACAGTCGCCTCGGACTCCGAAATGCCGGCTGGTCAAAAACCGTCCTAGGTTCTTTCCTGTGAGGTTCGAGTTGTGATAGAAAGCACGAAGAGGCACATCTGCAGGATTCGATGAATTCACGACCGATTTTCGTAGATTTGGGGCCACAAATTGCATTTACTTCTCACACTGTCGCCACATCTTGTATTCAGGAGGAGAAGATTCCAACGCAGAGGATGAAGCCGCGTGCGGTCATCCCACCTAAGAAAAGTGACCGAAGTGATCTTCACAATTGTTGGCCAATATGCTTGCTGGGTGCACTCCATAAACTGTTCAGGTAGACTGCGCTTTTGCGCATATTGAGGACCTTAGATAAGGCGCAAACAGCTGAGCAAGCAGGATTCCGACCCGGAGTTCGGAGCACTATTTGTTCTCTGTGCCAACCTTTATCGGTTGCGAAAAAGCGTTTGACAGCGTCGAAACGGTTGCAGTACTATCAGCGCTCATCAGTCAAGGAGTGCGCCCTTCCTATATAGAAACACTAGCGGATTGTTATCAGAACTGAACCACAAATATGTAGCTTTTTGTAGAAGCTATTCTTTCACTATCCGACGAGCTTTAGTGTCAACACAGCTTCTTTCCTACGGTTTCATTTGGTGTGCTCTTGCCCACGTACCATGTTTTACTTTGAAGCAGCTCCATCGGTTTGTACCAATTAAGAAACTTTCTAGAATCCTCTTATGAGCATTAACTCTTGTTTCTTTTGTCAAAGCCTCGCCCATCACACAAGGAATATAAAGAACATCATGGATCATCTCAGCGAGTTTCGCTCAGGTCGTTTACATAGTTAGCTCTCTCCACTAGTGCTCCAACAGTCTCCATCTTCGCCTTGCCGCCAGCATTTCTTACCCTTATGTATATTGTCACGTCGTTAATATTATATTGTTATTACTGCCACAAACGGTTATAACCCAAGCATGAGATTATACTCAGTGATAAAGTTAGAAGGTTCCGCGTGACAAACTCGTACAAATTCGAGCATCCTAATTCGTGCTCGTAAGTATTCGGTTACGAGGACTGACTCGAAGACCTATATTCCACTGCTCACTTGATACAACCTTTATATAGATACATATATATATATATATATATATATATGTATACGGATCTTCCTCATGGAGCGATCTCATCTCGGCTGGTCGAGATACACCGTAGCGCGACCCCAGATGGTGGACAGGGGGTTAATCGGGGACCAAAAGCGACCTTACTCTTTCTTGAAACGGAGGTGGGTCAAGGGGATAGACTCCTGATTCTGCCAAGCCTATTTGGCATGAAACTTTTGTATTTACGAGGACGTGTTCATGCATGCATGCGTTGGCGTGTTACTGTTTATACGGTTTGTATTCTACGAGTCAATTCGACGAAAAGCCTGCAATCAAGTGGCAGGGAAGTATATGAGAAGCCGTTGAGAGTCGTTTCCAACAAATAAGCTCCACGTCTGCTCTTGGAGAGACTGACAAGCTACTCGTAGTTATACCGAGTCCTCATGCTCACAGCGCAACAAGCTATACGTGGGTATCAAACGCTAAACAGAGTAAAATAAACGGGCTGCACTCCCTTGACCCCGAAAGAGCCCTCGATTCGGCAGCTTTGAGTACGGCAAGTAAGACGAGGCTGCTGAAATCTCAGGGCAATTCTAGGCTACCTAAATCGCAAAGAACTAAGTTGACGATCTGTACTTACAAAGCACGCACATTTGCATCCGAATCCTCGATAGGAGAGTTGGTCATATAAGCAAGAAGGATAAGGTATGGTGTTATCCGACTGGCCAAGACGAGAAGGCGCCACCTATTCAACGCCGCTTATGACACCAGAGAAGGACTGTTCCTCGGAATGTGCGAGAGTAGAGGAGTCGCCGGCGTCAGCGTTCGACATGTTCCATACGAGCTTGACTATGAACAACGATTCATTTGAAAAACTAACAACACTAATCAGACGTTTACAGTTAAAGAGATGTGGACCAATACCGGTTTTGACAGTCTTCGACGTCCACGCACCAACATTAACCTATGAAGAAGGAGAAGCGCTAGCATTCTATATGGACTTGGAGAACTTTTGCAGAGAAGACAACACATTCCCCAAAGTCATCACTGGAGAATTTAACGCCAAGATTGGACCAAGAAAAACGTCTGAAGAACGTCACATTGGGACCCACGGTTTAGAATGAAATGAACAGGGTGAGCGGCTGTCTGGGTTTGTAATGACAACCAAGACTATTCATGGTAACACGCAGTTCCAGAAGCCCTACTCTCAATGCTGGACATAGGAGTGGAGGACACCATGACGAAATAGAGCACATTGTAGCAAATCGAAGGTTTTGCTTAACCGATTTCACCCTGTCCAAAAATTCTACAGGGGGCTAGACTATCGCCTCCTTCTGCAGGATTGGTCAACTCGCGGATAGAAGAAAGTCGCTAACTGCAGAAAACGGAATCCTAGAGCCATCATAAACTGGGATTGATTTAAGACAGTATTCGGCTATCGAGGAGTGCCGTTATCGATAACATCAATGAGGAATATGACCAGCTTATCGAACATGTTACCGCTATGAAAGCCGACAGTTCGAAAATCAACAAGAGACGTCTACATTTAGAAACACTCGAGCACACACGCTAGGGTGTAAACGTACGTGTTGTAGGTAATTGTCAGTTCACTTCCGAACTTGCGAAGCACCGAAGAAGGGCGATCAAAGGATATTTTAAGGAGATAAGAGCAATATTTGTGGTCGAAGATGCAGAAGCCAAGATGAGCATTCGCAAAGCTCGCTGAAAATTCTCAAATTGCGACACTAAAATGCTTGAACTCCGACGCCCAAGCATGACAGTTTTAAAAACGGGGAAAACCATTCGCTATTACTGCTTAGATATTTTCAAAAGAGCTACGTCTACCTCCTATCACCCAAAAAGAGGTCGATGGATATGTCATCTGACTGGTTCTACCATTCGATTTCCTACATGACACCTTGTCGGTGATCGGTGAAGAAGCGAATAGTAACTAGTCAAGACCGCATAAAACCTGAACACCTGAAAAACCTTCTAACAGTTCTCATCAACACCCAGGCTCGCCTTTTAAAAGTTGCCTGTCAGGATGCAAGGTTCCTGCCCAATGGAAGACTGACAAAACTGTGGTATTGTTGAGGGTGAATCCGTACGATCTGGGAAGCCCTTGATAGTTAAGGAGTCCCTACTCAGTACATAAAGATTCTTCGTGAGCTGTACAAAAATTTCATAACCAAGACATCACCATTCTACAACGATATTAACATTGATGTCAAAAGAGAAGAAAGGCAAAGCGATACCATCTCGCCAAAATTGTTTACCGCCACCCCCAGAACGTCATGCGAACATTGGAATGGGATAATATGTGAGTGAAAATCGATGGTCGGTAGTCACACCACCTTCGGTTTGCTGATGACATCGTCCTTATAACGTCATCGTCCACCAAACATTAGCCATGCAGAATGTACGCTTTTCGACTTTGACAAAACCTGTGGAAAGATTGGTTTTCGACTATATCTCACAAAAACGATGTTTATGAAGAACGGATTGGTTTCGTATGCCTCATTCACGCTCAATGGAACGTATATCTCTGAATGCTCCAGTTATATCTATCTAGGTCGAGAAATCAATATGATGAACGACCTAGCTCTAGAGCTGAGCAGAAAACAAGCTGCTTGGGGAGCTTTCAAGAGCATCGAGGATGTAATGAAGAGAACAAAGAACGCCCGACTCCGTGCCCACCTTTCCGACTCAACGGTACTTCCTGCCCTTACATATGCGTCAGAAACCTGGTCGCTGCGTAAGCAAGATGAAAGGTCACTCAGCGTTATCGAACGCGCAATCGAAAGGACGATGCTAGGAGTATCTCGTTTCACAAAAGTAAGGGATGGGATCCGAAGCTCCGATCTGCGTCAACAATCAAAGATGAAAGATGCCGTTCTGTACGCCAAACAGTCGAAAATAAGGTGGGCCGGACACGTAATGCGTATGAATGACAACCGATGGATAAGAGCCCTTAGTGACTGGATTCCTCGGGATGTCAAACGCGCTGCAGGAAGACCACCGACCCGATGGTCAGAGTTTTTCACAAAGAGCCTTGAAGAAAGATATGATGCTCGACGAGTTCCTAGAGCAAGCAGAACCCACTGTGCTACTCTTTCACGCGACAGGGAAAAATGGAAGATTTACTGGCGCCCGCTCGAGTCACTCGACGATCAACGGGACTACAGGTGATACAAGTGATACAGGTAACCTGTACGATACTGACAACTATCGCTCAATTTGCTTGCTATCTGTCGTCAACAAACTTTTCACTGGAGTTATCCTAAACAGGGTTGACAGAACACTGGACGAAGGACAGTCTTGTAAGCAAGCATGATTTCGAAAACGATTCAGCAGAATGTGCTACCTACAAATGACGACAAGACTCATCAAAGTATCGCGAAAGTACAAAAAACTTCCCTCACTTTCATCGTTTTAAAGAAAGCACTTGGTGTAAACAGGATGAAAGATGACTTATATATATATATATATATATATATATATATATGTAATTTTTCTGGTGGTTACTGCTGTTACTGAAATCTTTGATCGTCGAAGGTAATTTTAGTTTCAGCTTGATGTCTGAAGCATTTCTCGCACAAGATTTTATCGGGATGCTCTAAGAAATGGTAGTCCGTACTGAGAGGTTGGACAACTGTGGTGGATGAAGTAGAGTTTCGTAGTCCACCTTGTCCAGCATTTGCAGCGTCGGTAGTACGACGAGTAGTCTTTTGTTATCATTGAGAACGATTGGTCTCCCAATGTAGGACGCAGCCGTGGACGTTTCTCGGGGTATTTTGCCGATTTTCTTTATGTACCTTTCGTTGGTAGTAATTTCACTCGAATTCTGGCAACTGTGATGAATCAAACCAGATTTGGGCCACTAAACAGTCAGCACGATCTTTTGTTGGTGCAATTTCGGCAACATTCCGCTGAGCTCCCAGCATAACCACTGAGAAGGATGTCGCCTCACAATGCGGCCAAGAAACGGATCGTTCTGGGTGCGCAGACAATGCGGCGACGATGTACTCAAAGCGGTGATTTCTTTCATTGTCATTCAATTCGTACGGGATCCATTTGTGGAGCTTCTCCGCCTTTCCCATTCTTAGACGATTAGACCCGACTGTTGTGATTTTTAGGCAAAGCTCTTCTCCAATTTCTTGAAGAGCTGTGCATGCATCCGCTTCCAACAAAGCCCACATTTCACCGTCGTTAATAGCAGAAGAATGCGCACGACATCCCTTATCTCCACGTTCATTCTGGCAGGCGGGAATTCTCGAAACAACGATGCACTATGGGCTTGTTAACGCTTTCTGGGTCCCATACATCATTTATAGCAGTTCCTAGATGAAAATAGGTCTTCGACTAAGCTCTCGGCGCCGAATAACTACTGGCTTGAAGTGGAATGCTTGGACTTTGAACAAAATTGCGACACATTTTTTTGACTTTGCAACAGAGCAAAATCTTAAAAATGGATAATTAAGCTTTTATGTACATTAACTACGTTAATACAATAATAATAACAATAATAATAATAATACGACAATACCTAAACAATAGAAATGACAATATAGTTCAAGGCTTAGGTGTTGCACAGAACACATCAGCGGTGGTGCAATAGTAGAAATGCGACAAGCCAGCTCACTGGAAGCTATGTATAGGCTTATGAGCGTTTAATCTCTATTAACAATGCAGTGAGGCGGAATACTTTACGGAGTAACTTATGTAGGACACCTATAGAGATAGCGCAAGCATGGAGACATCGGAGGATCAGGACAGGATCCACCTGGTATCAATCTAGTCGCATGGTGGAATGTCTCACTCTGATCCACAAGGACGACGACTGCCTGTGGTGATGATGACCTGGGAAAGACTGTGGTGGCTGACCTACGTACTCCAAGGGACCACCCTACGTACTCCAAGGGACCACAATGGCTAAACCAACAAAATTCCGTAACAATGGAAAATATGGTGGGATCCCCGCAACCGCCATCCAGGTACCCAAGAAGTAAGCGGAATTTACCTCGATTGAATAAATAAATAGTTTCTCAAGAAGAGGTGTTAGAATTATTCTCAGACAGAGAACTCTTATAAAGCGTGGTTCGAAGCATAACGAGGTAGCACCGAGAGCTGACAAGAGGACTGGCGGTAACTTTTAGGTGTCGATGATGCAGATGTGTGAGATATTTAACATTATTCTAGTCAGTGTAAATCGAAGGAACGATGTGCGAAAAAGATCAAACAGGATAGCAATGTGATGTAGAAAGGCGATGGCGATCTGTAAGCATTTTGTAGAGGCAAATGGCACAGCAATGATTTCCTGCTATCCTGCAGTTGTTTCCCGAAGAGTTTAGAATTACACTACCGGTCGGCTGCGGCACAAAATATGAGCTATGTGCTATGACTCACTCTGATCCTGCGGCAAGTTGACTACTGTACAGCAATTACAGAAAGTGCGCGAGATATGAGTAAAGCCAAATTGAACATTCGATGTTTATGTAGAATGCTCTTTATATCACTGACGTTTCGAAACATTTGCACTGCATGAGTCCGAGTTTGAAACTTATAAATTTTGTCAAAAATACATTTTAGGTTATAATTAAACTAGAAAATTCGAAAGTTCAATGCAATAAACTTTTTCGATGTTTTTCTTCAATAAGCAGGAACGAGGTTGTTATTATAGAATTTATTAGGATGCAATAGCTGACATTTCGGCGGTTTCGCCTTCTTCAGAGCCTGGAAAGGTCAAATTGAGATGTGACCTACTCAGCCAAACACTTTCATAACCCCAACATGTAAAACTTAACAAATAAATTTATATTCGCATAAGAAACAGCTTTATTTAAACACCTACCGTTTATTTGTTGTAAGTATTTAAGTTAGTTGATGGATAGCCGCCGCACAGGGTAATGCATGGGCGATAACTGTGTCTTTGTCAGGTCAACGGATTAGTCTGAGGTATGGCGCCAGGTCACGCGTGATGACAAGATGACTGACTCCTCCTTACGGTTCATTTTTGAATTTTTGGAGTTGATCCAAAATGCTCCAAGTGTTTTACGCGCTGATGTTTTCGATTCCTGCGTAATGATAGTGACTCCTGCTTCAAAATCTTCTCCGCTGTGTTCTTGCATCCTATGCGCGCCTAGTGGAGTGTTTGGTTTTAACTTAGATTTACCGACTAGGTGTTCTTTTATGCGGACGCAGAATGGTCTACCCGTTTCGCCAACGTATTCGTCTTCGCACGCTCTACAAGAGATCAGATAGACTGTGTCCGAACTCACGCAATCACCGTCTCTACCGTTAGAGCAAATGCAGTTTTTCGTTATAGATAGACGGTCGTATAGGCGGTTGCGAACTAGCTGGCGTCGTAGAGTGTCCGATGGTATTTCTATCACTTTTACGGAATTCTCTAGACCGGCCCTTATTAAGCAACGTTTTATAACTGCACTTATTTCGTTTGAAATAAAGAGCAAGAGGAGCGGAGCCTTGTTTTCGCTAGAACTATCGCTCTGAGGCGTGGGTTTTCCTCTATGCCTATGCCGAGAAGCTACAGTTTCGTAACCATTTGAAATGGCTATTTGGCATGTATAAGTAAGTATAAGACGGGAAATGTCGACACTTCGATCTTAAGATGCGAAATGTCTGCTGGTTTTAAACCTGCTCCGCTTGCTACCTTGACCCATTCATTGTTCAGTTTTCGTTTTTGACTTCTGAATTCCTTTTCAGTAGATGCGCGATAAAGAGATGCGTCTTCAAGATGTTTTTCTGTTATATCGACATCTAACTGGCGAGGAATTACTACAAACTCTCCACCCTTATAGCTAACTGATGACCTAATAGTTTTTGATTTTATTAGCTCTCGAACTTGTCGCATGCTAGATTTTTCCGCAGCTGTAAGGTTCGAACCAAACTTTTTCGCGCGATAGTGGCTAAGGACTTTGAGTGTTTCGCTCGAAAATATACGAAGTTTTATATCGACTTCATCGTTTGAGGAAAGCTAAAGTATTAATGAAAATCAAACTTTTAAATAGATGGTAGGTTAGGATGCTACGGTATGCAGATCTCTCGGAAATGTCACATATCCACTACGACGCCAAGATATTTCCACAACTTGGACCCTAAGCCAGATCGAATCGCGATTACTCTTTCAGGTTGCTCATGTGTTACGCATCGTATCACTGAGGCCCTTGCTTCTCCTTTCCCTCAGCCAGTTTTCTACCTAATGCTGCCATCAACAATCACTTGTCAACGGGATCGGGAGACACGGGCAAAGGAATAGGCCTTAGTGGTGCCGTGCGTAACAGGTAAGCCCAGAGAAGAAGGTAATCGCTGTTCGGTCTGGCCTAGCTCTCAGGATTTGCAAATATTTCAGCACTGTAGTAGTTGTATTTCACACACACCATGCCATGAAAAAAATAGACAGCGAATAAAAAAGTAAATATTGTTCCCAAGATCGACTTTCTCTTAACCTCGGCATTGGAATATGAATGTGTCGTTTTCTTGTTCAGCAATCGCGAGGTTTTTAAACAGCATACATTTACTTCCATAAAAACACAATACAATACAACGCTAGCTGACGTTTCGGCAGGGGGGCTATACTGCCGAAACAGGGGACTGAAGAAGGCGATACTGCCGAAACGTCAGCTAGCGTTGTATTGTATTGTGTTTTTATGGAAGTAAATATTGTTTCATACCCCTTTTTCTAACCTTTGTCGACTTCCAAAAAGCGTTAGAAAGTATCGAGACGAACATCTTTTTTTTGTCAAACATTAATATAGAAGCACCATCCCGCTGGTGCTGCATTGTAGCCACTACAACATGGTCCATTCATTACAACTTTGCCACCTCCATGGAATACGATCATCGAGAGTTTAACAGAGTATTGCTCAAACTGTTCACTCTCCCAATAATGAAGTCGCTCAACTTCGACCAGAAAGGCGCATGTATTGGTGGAAAATTCCTGTCAAAACTCCGTTTTTTTGACTAAACTACCATCTTTTACACGAGTGCCGGTGGGGTAGAGACGATACACGTTGAACTCGGTGAAGTGGGAAAAGCATCACACTGAGCATAAATCGGGAGAAAACCCAGACCATAAGAATGCGTTTCGCGAAGGAGACCAAATCGAACTGGATGGATCTGCGATTATAACGAACAATTGTGCGTGTACCTGGCGTTCAATTAACATAGAA